ATTTATTTATTTTATTGCATTTTAGGTTTTGGGGTACATGTGAAGAACATGCAAGATTGTTGCATAAGTACACATGTGGCAGTGTGATTTGCTGCCTTCCTCCCCATCACCTACATCTGTGAGACCTCATTTCCCCAGGAAAGCCTTCTCCTCTGTACCACCCCCTCCCCAAGCTCACCTCCCAGCTTACTCAGGTCTCCATCACCGGCTCCCACAGTACCTTGGATTTTCCTTTACCCAGTTTGTGATTACATGTTTGTTTGTGGTTATTAATGAAACACAAGCTCCCCAAGGGGAAAGATCTTGTAGGAGCTGCTCACTGTGGTGTCGAGTCACTTAGCACAGTGCCTGGTACTGACTGAGCGAGCCAGACTGGCCAAAGGTCACAGTACTAGTATTATGTACTTAGTACTCAGTACTAGATCTGGGACTAGGACCTGGTGGCCCCCCGCTCAGTCAAAGGCTTCCCGAGCCACACCAGTTTGCCTCCACTCCAAACCTTCTGCTGCTTTTCTAAGCGCCCAAACTTCTGACCATCTAGAGATTCAGGCACGGCGTCTACAGAGTCCTCCTCCAACCAAAAACTTTCTGTCTTCATCTCGACAGCCATCTTCTTGCCAAAATAAGCCGGGAAAGGTTATGTGAGTGCCTGCAGGCCAGCAGGAGTTGAGCTGGTCTGAGAAGAAAAACAGAGAAGAAGGAAAGATCCTAAAACAGTGATTTGTTTAAACTTCTTCACAAACTTTACAACACAAGGAAATCAACAGAGACAAGCTCGTAATGAAGTAATCAGCCAACACGGCTAATATTCCAGCAACCAGAAATGATTCCCTCCATGTCGTGGGGCAGATATGAATAGGGTCATTAAAATATGGCCAAGGAGGGGAGGGAGAGTTTACTTTTTCTGTCTCCTTAGAGTCTGTGCTCTGAAAGCGCAGCAGGAATTTAAACAAATAACACGGAGGAATGGTGAATCTGATCACATTTAAAGAAAAAGCCCCTTTCAAACTTCTTTTTAAATCATTGGCTTCTGCAAGTTTCACTTTTTAAAAATGCTCCTGGCTTTTTTCCCTCTGAAACAAAATTAGCATCAAATTGTTCTAATATTTTTCTGCATACTTTTTTTCTCTAGGTCAAGAAGAAATTGTTGCTCCATCATATAAGTGAATGTCAGGGGAAGGAAGGAAGGAGGACGATAAGGAGTGAAGTTCTAATGCATCCTCTATGATTCAAAAGGAAAAGAATAAAGTAACAGAGGATAAAAGGTATATGGAGAAAGCCACCCACAAAAAGGGTTGCGCTGGTGAAATGGGCCTGTGTCGGTCAGATTCCCTCAGGGAGGGCAGCATTGGGTCCCTTGCATTTCAGATAAAATACAACTTTAGGAACAGGGGCTGAAGGGAGAGACGCTTCCACCCACCTCAACGGGGCAAATTTTTTGACAGAGTCTCAATTTGTGGCTCAGGCTGTAGTGCAGTGGTTCGATCTTGGCTCACTGCAACCTCTGCCTTCCAGTTCAAACGATTCTCCTGCCTCAGCCTCCTGAGTAGCTGAGATTACAGGTACACACCACTATGTCCTGTGAATTTTTGTATTTTCAGTAGAGAGGGGGTTCCATCGTGTTAGCCAGGTTGGACTCGAGCTCCTGACCTCAGGTGATCCCCCCACCTCCCAAAGTGCTGGGATTATAGGCGTGAGCCACCGTGACCCGCCCAACAGGGCAAATGTAACTGAACTAACAGTACAACCACCTGAGGCTCTCAGAGGATGGCAGAGTGCTCTGACCTTAGACAAGTTACTTAACTTTTGAAAGCCTCAGTCTTCCTACCTGTAAAAAGACAAGAAGAGAACATTCCTCACAGAGCTGTGAAAGTCCAATCATACAAAGAAAATATAACATCACCTGGCACTTGGTAGAGTGTTCTACAAACGTTATGAAGAAAAAACCCCGCAATTCCCCCCTAAGACCCTCATCGGGTAAGGACCCTGGGCCCTGAAGAGGGGGGGCAGGCCTGGGGGTGTGGGAAGGACACTTTAGCCAGCTGCCCCCAGTGCTGCTCCGAGCCTGGAGGCCCAGTTCCGGGGCTGTGGTGTGGCTTGAGGGCCCAGGGCTCCTCACTGACTTTGCTTAAGCAAGTTTGTTCACACACAGGCCCATATACGCTTTGGCTAGAAAATTCAACGCGGAGTTTTTTCTTCCTTCTTTCTGTTGTTGTTGGGTTCTGATTACTTCCATCTGGCTTCAGCGGCTCCAGTGGAGTCTCCAAAACACAAAACACAACAAAAAACCCACCCTGCAAGACACATGCACCAAACCTAGAAAGCTGCTTTGCTTTTCGCCAGCGGGTGCTCAGATGGCGCTGAGTGCGAGCCGCGGCGGGGGGTGCCTCCGGACCCCCTAGCACCTGCGCTCGCTGCCCGAGGGAGGAGGGTCCGCGTAGACCCAGCCCCCGCGTCCCTTCCCTGGAGTCCCCGGCTTCCGCCCCAGCGCCCAGAGAAGCGGGCGCCCTGGGAACAACGACCCGGGCATCTCCCGGCGGAGGGAAGTGGATGGACAGGGCGAGGGGATTTCAGAGATTGGAAACAGAGCAGCCCTAGCGCCTCAGCCCCGGCGCTCATCTGACTCGAGTTAGCGACACCCCCAACTCCCCACTTCGGTGTCTAAAAAAAGTGTCGGAGATTGGAGCGTCCTCTGGTTTCTTTCTCGAACTTTCCGTGTAGGTGCGTTTTCTTTCCTAGGTGCTGGGTCGGGAGATTCCCTGTGCGCCCCCTTTCGCCTGCCCTCCCCCTGGCAGCGTCCAGTCCCCCAGCGTCCCCCCGCGGGGAGCGGGCGGGTGCGCGGGGCCCGGGTGTGCCCGCACCGTGCGCGCGGGGGCGCTGCGCAGTCCGGCGACGCTGATGAATTGCAGGAGTGCCGGCGCTCGCCAGCCGAGGCAGCACGGCTCCGCGGACTTTTTTTCAAACTCCCATCAATGAGACTTCGAGGAGGAGCGGGCGGCGGCGGCGGTGACTGCTGGCGCGGAGGAAGGCGAGGAACCGCAGGAGGAGCCGGAGGAAAGAGCGCGGGCCGCGCGGCAAGCCGAAGCCTCGGGGAGCCGCCTGCTCGCCGGCGGTAGGGGCTGCGGGGCGCCCGCCAGCCCCTCGGTCCCCTCTCCCGCCTGGCCCGCCGCACCCCCGCTGGCCGGAGCCCCGGCACCAGGCAGCCAGCCGAGGGTCGCCGCGCCAGCCAAGGTGGGATGGGGGCCCACCGCCACCGCCCGGAGCCCGAGAGGCCACCTGCGTGCTAGAGGCAAACTTTTGTCTCCCTCGGTAAAGTTGCATTGGCCTTCTTTTGCTTGCTTTTCGTGGCGAAGCGCCTCCCACCTCGGCAGAGCGCAGGCCGACTGGGATGCTGCGCCGTCGCGGAGGGTCCCTCGGCCGGGTACCGATGCCTCGGCCTTGGGGTCTGTGTGCCTGGCTTCTGGGGACTCGAAACTAGTGGGCGCGACTCCCTTTCGGGCTCTGGACTAGCAGGGCGGAGATTTAAGGAGGGTCCTGGGGCTTGGTTCGTGGCCCGGGGTCGATGTTGCACCCCCTCCATACCTGGGGGAGAGCGCCACTCTTCTCGGGGTGCACAGCGGGCCCGCCTTCGCGCGCGAGCCGGGGGCTGTTTTTTCGGGGGGTGGAGGGTGGGATCGGAGGCTGGGATGCTCCGAAGCTAGCGGAGGTGGGCAGTGGGAGCGTGTTTGCGGGCGTGCTGAGCGCGGAGGGGCTGCAGCCAGCCACTTGAGAACTTCGAACTCCACTTCTCCGCGCTGCGCGTCCGGGAGCCCTGCCTTTCTTTCTTCCTTCCTCGCTCCTTCCTCCCCCTCGCCGGGGCCGGCCGCCCCCTCCCCCTCTGCTGGGCTCTCCTCCTCTTCTCCTGCCCTCCGCCCTGAGATCCGCTTGACTTCCCGAAGGGATACGCACGTAATCCTTTGCCGGGTCCTCCGGTTACCCCCACCTCACTTTCATCCCTGCCCCCCTGCTCATCGTCTCCCCCCACCCCCGGCAATCTCTCAACAAGTATATTTGCTGAGGAATTTGAAAAATCCACTACTGCAACTTGATCTGTGTGTGATGGATGGGGAGAGGCGCGGAGAGAGTTGGGCGCCAATCCTATTAAGGGTTTAGAGAGGGGAGAGTTTTCCCCGGACGGGGAGGGGGCGGGGGCGGGGAGCGGGGAGGGAGCGTGTGCTTGCGTGTGTGAGTGAGCGCGCCCGCCGCGCCGGGGAGCTGGGAGTCCACCCAGCTCTGCGCCTTTTCAGCCCGGCGGTAACTGCTGTCATTTCCTAGGAAACCCGACTTTTGAGGAGCGGGGAGCTGGGGATGGAGCCCGCCCGCCTCACCCTGGGTGACCGGTAGCTGAGGCTCTCGGGGACCTCCTATCTCCCCGCGGGGTGCCTCTCTCCACTACCTTCTCTTTTGTGTAATTGTTCTGTGGCTCCTAGAGTTGATCCCAGCAGGAAAAGTAGACCTGTCCCTAGTGTCTGGTCCTGCGCCCTGGGGGTCTTGTAGGCAACCCGGCCATTCCGCTCGGTGCGCGACCTCTGGCACTGGTTTTGCAGCTCGGTGGCTGCGGCGGTGGCCCGGGCCCCTTCTCCACCGCCCTTGCCGGGCGTGTGAAGGTTTAATCCGGACAGCTTCAGATAAAGGGAGCAGTTGTAAAACGCTCGTAGGCTGTTTGCAGACGAGGCTCTGGGGGATGTAGGAGAATTTGAAAGTAAACGTTTCCCTCGCAAGCGGCATAAAATAGTGTTTAAACAAATATTGTATTGGCATGCTCAGGGGGCTCGGTGCCAAAAAGTAAAGTAAGTAAACTGTGAAACCCAAAATATACAGCGGGGAAAGTGGAGGAATAGGCGGGCTTGTCACAGGCTTCCCTGATGAGACCAGTTTGTTCCAGCCACCTCACCTGCCAGCCTTCTCTCCGCCCATTTCCTTACCTTGCTGGAAGTTCCCTTGGCTGGGTTTCCCTGTGTGTGCAGGCAGGCTCTCCCCCGGCCTGGGAGCGGCTTTGCAGTTGCTCATTTAGGGGGAAGCTCACCGTCTGGCTACCTGGGCCGGTCTCCGCAGGGAAGGGAGGGCACCCTGCCTATGCCTGGGTGCTTTGAGTTTGAAGACTATTTAGGCTTTTCCCGGCTTCTGGTCTGTGCTGGGGCAGTCCTAGAATGTGGAATCCAGATTCATCAGGGACCTTCTCTTTTTTTTGACTGTGCTGCTGCTGCTTCTGCCTCTTTCTTAGTCGTTCTTGCTTTTGTTTTCTTAGACTTGCTGCTTCTCTTACGGGATATTGTGGAGATGTTTTCTCTGGGATTCAAATTCCACTCAAACCCAGCCATATGGAAAGTTGTCGCTTGTGTGATGAGTTTTAAAGTTAATTATATTTGGTAAGATTTAGGGTGGTTTTGTATTTCCCCTCTGCTTTGAGAAATATTCCAGTTTCATGAAGCTATTTCGTGATTTTAGGGGGATTTAAGCTAAGAAAGGGAATATCCTGCATTTGGAAGAGGCCACCTGCCCAGGAGGTGTCCCTCAGGTGAGCCAGCCTGCAGTTGGGCCAACATCTGAGTGAGAGACTGTGGTCAGAACAGTTTGCAAAGCGACTTGGAGAGAATTAGAATGACAGGTAGAAAGAGCCTTCGGAGACAGGGCTGGGCTCCCAGGCTCACCGAGGTGAGACTGCTGGAGATGGTTTTATCCTGTGTGGGAATTGATTTGATGGAATTTGCACAGGGTTCAGATTCCTTCAGCAGAGACTTCCGGGCTGCTCCCAAACTCACTCTGCTCCAGGCCTTGAAGGGAACCCTTGACTGGTGGCTTCCTTGAAGCTTGCATGGGGTTAGCGAGGCCTTGGAATGGAGTGCCACTTCACTCTCAGGGACGCTCTGGTCCACTGGTGGGGAGAGCACAGAATGGAAAGTCAATCCTTTGAGTCGCCTGGTCAGAAGAGGGGGCCGGAGGGCTTCTGGTCAGCGGTTCGTTGCCTGTCTGCGGGGGTCTTGGGGGATGTGTACTGTAGCTGGCTTGTTTGCACTGCAGACTGAAAAATACACAAATACTTCACGCTTTTTGTACTCCTACAAGTGCCCTGTACACAGTGCAGCCCTGGGGCTGGATTAGCAAACCAGGGATTCAACAGGCAGGCAGACAAAATTGGATATTTGCCTAATAAACACCCTTCTTCCATCCCCCACCCCCACACCCTGGTATATCCAGGGGAAACTTCACTCCACAGATGCCAGCAGATTCCTTTAAATGGGACTTGGATGTTGTCATGTGCACTTTGAAAGCCTGTGTGACCCCCTCACACCCAGCTGGCTTGTTAAAGCCTAGAATCAGAGTCCTACATCCTTGTGTACTCTCTGGGTAGGGCAGCTGGCCTTTTCCCCGGGAAAGTGTGTTCAGCCCGCCGTCCTTTCATCTGTCTGGCGCTTGCTGGAGGGAGGTAGAGCAAACCAGCCTTGCTTCTTTGAGGCTGTGGGGAGGAGAAAGGGGTTCTACCTGGGCCAGAGCCTGTTTCCTAGTGCACGAGGGGCAGCCAGGCCAGGTGGACCATGCTGTGGACAGCTGCAGCTGTTCCCGCTGGGCCAGGGTCCTTTGAAAAGGAACCCGGGGGAGCACTTCCCCCTTTCTTCTTTTCAGTAAGTGTCAGAGGCATGGACAAGTGAAACACGTGAAGAATGCCAAAGAGAGAAACAGTGTTCTCAGATTCCAGAAAATTCAGAGGCAGAATCGGTGATTGTACCAACAACCAGAATGTACAGCGGTTTCAGTGGCTCCTGGACTTCTAAAGAAATTGGGAAGGAAAAACTGCTCTCTGTTTCCTCAGGCTTGTTTAACAGATTTGAGAAAGGGTCAACCAACACTGATGTTTGACAGTGTTCTTTGAAAAAGAGTGACACCTTCGACACTTCCTGGTTTTCAAATAAACACACAACACCCGATTCAACATTAATCATTTTCTCTAAAATTTATTTGAGGATTTGCTGTGGAATATCAAGAATTAAAAAAAAAAGCAATCATTGATTATTATTACGTTTAGAGGATGACAAAAGCATCCTTAACCCACAAAACTGTATTTAAAATCAGGGAAAATGCACAGATAACAGTATATTTTCTGCGCGTTTACTATCTTATTTCCCCCAATTCTTTCATCAGCACGGTAATTCTCAATAATCCTGTTTGTGTTGTTTCTGGTTTCTTAAAAAACATACACATGGGGGAAAGTAAGTAACTCATTTAAGATGTGACCAGCGAGTACTTATTAAACTGTTTTTGGGATTTGGGTTTAAATTGAATAATGTTTTGTGCGTGTGCTTGCACATGTGTGTTGTTAAAAAAAAAAAAAAAAAAAAAACCAGGTTGCTGCAAAGTGTGTTTTCACTGTGAGTGCCGGGTTTCAGCTATTAGCATAAGAAAAAAAGTTTTAGTGAGCTTGCCATTGTCTTCAATGAAGAGTTCAGCAAAGGGAAGGAAAGCCGCAAAAGGGTGATGGTCCATTGAGATTCTTCAGCAGCCCCGAGCTCGTCATCTGTCTCTGAAATCTGTGATCGGATATCACTTTTATCTCGCTTTTCCATTCTCTGGCCTTTTTCACACGTTCACTTTTGTCAAGGTTTATTGATTATGTTTTCTTCTCTACAAATCTGTGGAAAATTTAATGAACCAAAAACAGCAGTGAAATAAAGGGGACTTTTTATTCATTAGCACGGGATTGGGATTGATTACCCCCCTTTGGGCAGCCGAGGGCCCCAGGCCTCCTGCAGGCAGCGAGGGGGAGGAGGGAGGGTGGCCCTGCTGCAGGCTGAGGCAGGGACTTCACAGGCCTGTGGCCTCCAGGCTGAGCACGGGCGCAGCCCTGCACTCCTGTCCCAAGTGAACTCTGAAAGCTTGTCCGCGATGGCTGTGCGGGTTCAGCCTGAATGCAACCACGCCGCAGCCCCCACACGCCATGGCCTCCTGGGTCCTGGCTTAGTGGGCTTGGGGTGAGGTGGGGGCGGGGGGGGTGTTTGTATTTCCCAGACTTACAAACCATTTGAGTGCTGGGCCTTCCCTGGGACACAGTTAAGTATCTCCCTTCCTCCAGGCCCAGCTCAAACCTGTAATTAAGCAAAGCCCCTGATGTGATTACGCTTTGCTGACTCGGCCGGGTTTGGAGCCATTCCCTCTAGGAAACAGGGTGAACTCTTGCTCTTCCCAGAGGCTTCCTGGGCAGCTTGTGGTGCACGTCTATTGTACACATGTCCGCTCTCTTCCTCTCCCTTCAGCCATCCGTCCTTCCTTTCTTT